AGTGGCGATGATTGTAGTGTTACAATTGCTATCATCAGGTTCGCTCTCTGTACCAGCCCTTTCGATCCCGCACATGCGGAGATTAGCTCTACAACGGGAGCTGGACTACGGGAGGGCACGGGTCCTAGGAGTGATTGTAGCTTCCTTAGCATTCTCTAGCACTTGTGCGTTCACAGAGCAATTTGACAAGAGTTTCACAAGGGAAAGTTGCATAACATAATGATTGATACAACAATGGCAAGGATGGGTACATCAGGAACCTAGCAACTCTGCAGCCAGGCTAGTCGACTGCCAGCACAGCATGGTCGACCGCCTGCCAGCGTTGCGTAGAGGAGCCGCACCAACACTGCCGAAACGCGGACTGCCAACACAGCAGGTCGACAGCGTGCCAACGCTGCAGCAAGGCGGCTGCCCAACATTGCACTCGTAGAAGACAGCAGTGCGCACGCTCGCAGGTTCGTACAGACGATTGGCCAGACTTGCACCGTTTTGTGCTCGTCGGATGTTGTCTGCGCCTTACGAGCCACATGGACTTCAGGATACAAGTCGGAATTCGCCTTCACCATCACGACCTCGACACGTTCTCGTGCCTCCGCAAAACTTCGCCGAGCAGGTTACCTGGTCGACCTCGTCGACCACCCAGTGCGCGCCCTGGTCGATAAACTCCCTCGTCGTCCACCCCGCCCATCGAAGACAACCTGGTCGACAGCCCGTCTGTTGACCAACTCGGTCAGCTGCAACCGTCAAGTTCCCGTCCTCGACAGCTGCCCGCGAGTCCCACGCAGGTCGACGACCTGCCCCGTCGACCTCCCCAGTCGAACTACACCGCCAGACTTCCATCAACGGCATCATCGCAGAGGTCGCCTGCAGGTTGGCCAACCCCGTCGACTTGCACGCGTTGAATTCTGCAAAACGGTCGGCCACACCACCTGCGCGCCCGACCAGAAAGTCAGCGGCGCCTAAGCGAGGGCGGGGCCAACAACGCACTCCCGTCAACAACATACACACCTTCTGGGTCAGGCTGGTGTATGTTCGGTATCGAATTCTCCGATGCAGTGATGGCCTATAAGTATAGTGCTCCTCATTCTTCTCTCTCTCCCTCTCTCTCTCTCTCTCTCTCTCTCTCTCTCTCTCTCTCTCTCTCTCTCTCTCTCTCTCTCTCTCTCTCTCTCTCTCTCTCTCTCTCTCTCTCTCTCTCTCTCTCTCTCTCTCTCTCTCTCTCTCTCTCTCGTAAGACTAGGTACGGATTTGTTAGATATACCTTTCTCTTGGCATGTTTTAATGTTCTCCTCCCGTGACTAGTAGGTGTCCGCTCCCAGCATGCCTAGCCTATGCTTCGTCTGCACTGCGACCTTGGTCACGAATTTGCCTCTGGTCGCCTTGGCCTCTTCAGTAAACGGTTCTCTACAAACATATTGAAAACAACTTTGAGGTCCTGTGGTTGCGGTGCCCCTTCGGGGTTGTAAATGAGTATGTTGTCCAAGTAAACAATTACGCACTTATCCAAAAGCGGGCAGAACGCCTCATTCATGGTCATTTGAAATGTGACGGGGGCATTGACCAGTCCGATGGGCATGACAGACCATTGGTCGTCCAAGAAGTTGCCACCAGAAGTTGCCTAGTGTTACGGGTGCAATGGAACGAGATAGCGAGGATTGCACTAGGTGTCAAACGAGTACCAAGTATGAGCGAAGGCATTGAGTGAATACTTATGTGCGAATAGGCCAACGGTACGCGATACGTACGAGCTGGCAATGCTAGGTTGGCATCGAGGTTCAGGCTAGTCCTGAAGCGTAGGCCGACACGGCCGGGCCAGCGGTGCATGGCTTGGTGAAACACTGCGCGCGAAGTTAGCAAAGTCCAGTTAGCAGTAACGGGCGAACAAACGGCTGCTGCTGTACGAGATATTAAAGCATGCGGTAAGGAATGCTGAAAAAAAATCCTTATCCCCCCCCCCCTCCCCCCCCCCCCCCCCCCCCCCCCCCCCCCCCCCCCCCCCCCCCCCCCCCCTCTCAAAGAAGCTCCTTCCGCTATGCGAGTGCGTATATATCACGGACACCCCGGCTCCCCAGGTACACTTGCAGGGCAGGGTGGTTTTCGATGTTGGCCAATGGCACCCAACTATCTTTAGTTGGCGTGCGGTCCTTCCAGCGAACGAGGAACTCAATCCTCCTAATGCATGTGAGGTGGCGGCTTCGATGGCCAAAATTTTTCTCGGGCTTGACGACTGGCTCCAACGTAGGGCGAGTCATGGACGGTGGGCGATGGCATGACAGTTGGCTGGTGGTCGGGACGTACAAGCGAAGCAGACTGACGTGGAAAGATGGGTTGATGTACTAGTCGGATGGCAACAGTAGATGGGCGGTAACTGGGGTGATCATGTGGCTGATTTGGAACGGTCCACAGTAGCGCGGTCGAAGTTTCGGTACAACGAGCAGTGTTAAGTTCTGCGTGTCAAGCAGTACGTAGTCTCCTGACTGATCCGTTACCGGGCGGCAGTGGCGGCCAACACATCTCTTTGCGATGATGTTGGCCATTTTTATTCCGTCTGCTCTCGTGTTCGGGCAGCCTACAGTATCTCGGCGAAATGTTGAGCACGTGGCGTTGGGTTGTCCGGACTCGGCGTCATGGGCACTGTTGGATTTTGCCCGTAGTTCAGGTAGAACGGGGACTGCTGGGTGGTTGTTGACGTGGCGTTGTTATAGGCGAACTCGATCAGCGGCAGCTGCTGCTCCCATGTTGTCGGGTCTCCGCATGTGGCACGAATCAGCTGCTCCTTAGTCTGGTTCGTTCGCTCCGTTTCACCATCGGTCTTGGGTTGGCACAACGAGCTGGACTGTAGCCTGGTCCCGAACTGTTCCCAGAGGTTCTTCCAGAAGTTGCTGATAAACTTCGTGTCCCGGTCGCTGATTATTGTGGCTGGTATCCCGTGCAGTCGAATGACGGTTGCGATGAACAGGCGAGCGGTTTCCTCGGCTGAGATCGACTTCTTGCACGCAGCGAAGTGAGCAATTTTTGTCTGTTTGACAACGACGACCATAACCGTGTCGTTACCCCTAGGTCTCGAAGGTAAACCTGTGACAAAATCCATGGTAACATGCTGCCAGGCGCGCTCAGGCAGTAGAATCGGCTGCAATTGACCCGCCTTTCTTTTTCGCGAGCTCTTTACCTGACACGTAGGACACGACCCCACGTAGTGTTTTTGTTTGTTTGTTTTTTTTTTTTTTTTGGTTGGAAGTACACTATATATAAGTATACAACCACAGTCGTGACTGTTTCCATGAGGGACTTAACTACTAACGCGACTAGCAGTTACTCCCCCAAGATCCCCTCTATGGCGGTTTGAAGCGTGCTCTCGGGTCCTCCCAGATCTCACGAAAGCCTTCTGTCCACGTCATCTCTTTCTCCCCCACAAATAAGTTGCCAAGTGCCCTCGCCTCGTCCAGGGCCAGGTGCCCCCAAGCTCTGCCTCTCGCTGCTTTTGTCCTTCGTTGTTGCATGCTTTTTCATTTGCTATATGCCTTCACGTGACGCATGAAGTTTGCCATGATTCCCCTAATCACCCTATTGTACTGAAAACTTTCTTATCTGAAGACCGCTCCACACCTCTCCAGCCAGAGTTGGTGAAAGGTAATGGCAATCAGCGGCAGTTCTAGAAAATTAGACTTCGTACCAGAGTCCCAAAACAGCAGGTCGCCCACATTTTTTTTGCCTCCTCCTTTGCCCCCAGAACCTTCAAAACTACTTGCAGCTTCCCAACCACACCTCTCACTTCTGGGCACAGCATCAGGCAGTGATCCACTGTCTCCTCTCCACCACAGTCTGGGCAGCGCACCAAACTGCCCAAGAAAGGGAGTCTGGCGCCCACCTGTAAATTTTTTCTGTGAAGCCGGAGGAGCACCTCCCTTGCTGGATGGCACCACCATTGAGTCACGGGCTGCCAACGTCCTTTCCCAGTTGATCTTCCCCCCATACTCCTCCTCCCAGCAGATTTGCTACTTCGGCTTCTCGGCTGGCTCCCTGACTGCTCTTCTTAGGGTTTTTAGGGTCACAAGCTCTCCTCCCTTGCAGAGCGCCGACTCTCGCAGCCTGGTTAGATGATGGCCCAGCGGGCCCAGTACCTTCTCTTCCGTCGTCTTGATCAGTGTTACGCGTGACACACGATAGCAAAGGGGCTCGCATACGGCGCTGGTGTTATGATGCCTCGTACCACCTCCACTCTTTTCACCACCAGCCTCTCTCCTTCCGTACGTAGAACCCTCCAGTAGTTTTGCTGCTTCACCACATTCCCTCCGGTCCGGACCAGGTCTGTTGTTTCAGCAATTTCTTCCGCTGTCCGTCGTTTTAGTAGCATATTTTTCCATTCCACCAAGGAAGCTTGAAAGGCCTTGAGCGCCCATCTAGCCGGGGGCTTGCCTCCCATCTCCCTGCTCAGCCTCTCCAAATCCTTGACCACCACTGTCCCGTCTGAGTCCGTGATGAGCAGGTCCGCAAGCTTCATCCCCTTCAAGCACTCCGAGCCATGCTGTGCACCGAAAGGGTTGTTTCCCCTGAAGAGGATCCGCTGGTTAAACCAGAGATGTTCTTGCTCCACCTCCCATCTTGTCTGCGGCTCTCTGAACAGCGGGGTATTCCTCTTCCAGAGAATCTGCAGGAAGGCTCTCCACCTTTCGCCCCCCCCCTTCCCACTGGCTAGCGATGTTCTTATGCGCCCACAATGTTGCCCACCCCAGCGGCATCCCCGCCGCTTGTTCCATCATCCATTTTTTAATATAACTGGTTTCCGCGATGGCCTTGCTGAGACATTGTAGCACCATACTGTCTATCCGGTCCCTCGGGCTGATGACCCCCAATCCCCCGTCTCTCCTTCTTCTGCATGTCAGGTCATAGCTCCAGAGTACAAACCTCCAGTCCAGCGACGACTTCCCCCCGGAGACGAAATTGTGGCACATCCGGCGAATTCTTGTCCAGAAGTCTATTGGCGGTGGGTAGACTTGTGCCTAGAACAGCAGCACCGTCATCACATACGAGTTGATCACCGCGACCCTAGCTGTCGTTGTAAGGTGTTGCACCGCCCAGCGACTAAGCGAGCTGCTGACTCTCTCGAAGGCTTTATCCCACGACGGCCTCGCCTCTCCATTCGGTGTGATCCAGACCCCCAGAAGCCTCTCCGGTTGTGCAGGCTCTGCTGTCTTAAAAGGTGTCTGCTTCCGAAACTTGCGCCTACGGTTTCTCCCCAGCGGCATTAACACGGTTTTCTCTTGATTGATGCGCAGGCCCGACACTTCTCCAAAATCCTTCAGCACCTCCCCGGCCTTTTCCACTTGTGCCAATCCATTCAACACCAGGGTGGTGTCATCTGCATACCCCAGGTACGCCAGCTCCCCCTTTCCTTGCTTCCTGACCCCGAGCTTCCTTTTCTTAATCTCCTGACACAGCGGCTCCAGTGCGCAAACGAAGAGATACGGCACAAGCGGGCACCCTTGCCTCTCCCCGACTTCCACCGTTGAATAGCAGCCTGGTACCAGCCTCATTATGCAATCCTTCCGCCCAGCTAACAAAAACCTCTGGGAAACCCATATCCTTCAGTGTGCTGAAGAGGAACTTCCGTGACACCGAATCATACGCCTTCTGAAAATCTACCAAGAGCAGGTACCAGTCTTCTTTCCCGGTCACTACTGCATCAATCACATCAGCCACCGCTACCACTGCGTCTGACAGCTTCCTCCCTGGTACAAACCTGTGTTGGTCCTCTGAGTACTTTCTTCATCCTGTTTGCCAGCACCTTCGCCACAATCTTGTAGACCGTGTTAAGTAGCGTTATCGGCCTGTAATTTTCCAGTTTCTCCTTCTCCCCCTTTTTGTGTAGCAGGATCGTCACCGCCGTCGTGAGGCTTTCCGGGAGCTTCGCCGACTGTTCAAAGGAGTGGATGAACCGCATCAGTCCTGGCCCGAGGATGTCCCAATTACTCTCGAAGAACTCCCTCGGCAAACCGTCTTGATCTGGCGCCTTCCCCTTGGGCAACTCTGCTAACGCCTTTTTAACTTCTTTTTCTGTCCATTTCGCTTGCAGCACTTCCCTGTCTTTCTCATCCAACCGCCTGCTCTCGTCTGTTAACCACTTCTCCTCGGATGTCTCTTTGGCCTTCCCGAACAGGTCCCGGAAAAAGTCTGATGCTGCCAGCAAGATCTCCTTTGCATCTTTCATCGTTTTCCCTCCCACCGAAAGCGTCTGTACTTCTGTCTTTACTCTCCTTGCGGCTATCTTCCCCGTGAGGAATTTAGATGCAGTCTCCCCCTCCAGTTCCCCTTGTATGCCTGCTAGCGTCTGAAGCCAGTCGTTTTTCCCCTCCCAGTACGCTTTCAGTTGCGCTTCACTCTTTGCTCAATGGTGCGTGCCACCCTCCTCCTTTCTCCTTTCGCATACTCCTTCAGGCCCGCGTTTAACTTCTTAAACGTTTTGACAAAGTCATCCTCCGCATCCTGCTGTTGCATTATGAATTGCGTAATGTTCCTCACCCTCTGACTCTTCGCTAACTTTGCAGGCAGTCTCCACAGGCCGGATCTTTCGCCTTCCCGCTAGACGACACCAGCTTCACTGAAACCGCAAACCAGTGATCCGTGATCCCCTTCGGTATAAAGGTGTGAAAGGCTCGCCCTATGAAGCCCAGCATCGATGCCGAGACGAGTGCGCGATCAATCCTCGAGCTCACTTTCGCCGACCGCGAGTAAAAGGTGTATTCCTTCTTCACTGGGTGCAAAGTGCGGAAGGCATCGTGTAAGTCCAGTCCGACGCACCCGTTCAGCAGCCTCTGATTCTAAGCCATTGACCCGAGCTTAGATGATTTATCCAGCTCCGGATCTTCCACCAACTTAAAATCCCCCATGAGTACCATGTGCGCTGCTGCCGGCAATCCATCCAAAAAGGGGAATAAGCAGTCCCTAAGGAAGACATTGCGGACACCCGCCTGCGCCGGAAGGTGTACTGCTACCAGGCGCAGCTCCAGCTCTTTCCACCTCAAGCCAACACTGATCAGCCTTCCTGACCCGTGCTTCACCACATCCAGCAACTGAATATCAGGTGAGAAAACCAGTACCGCAACCCCCCCCGGCTTCTTGCAAAGGCGATACCGAGGCTGCAGCCGTGGGTCTTAGCTGCGTCCAAAAATTATGATCTTCCTGTATCCTTGTGTCCGTTAGAACTACTACATCTGCTGCTTTCCTTAGCCATCTTCAGCACTTGTTCCTTTTCCCTGCGCTGCCCATGCGGTTGATATTCAACGCGCATAACTTGATTGTATTGGGTGTATTCATTTAACCACTGTCTGGAGACCCCACAACATCCACGGCGCAGCGAGCTTTATTCTGGGGGCCTCTTCTTCACCTCCTCTCTTTGCCACGGCTACCCCACGTGGTGTTGTACGTCTTTCAACAGCTCCGACCAGTAATAGTACCGCTGCAGTTGCTGTCACGTCCTTTCTACCCCGAAATGGCCCAAGGTAACCCCAACGTGTGCCTCCTGCATTAGCAATTCCCTCAGCAGTGAATACGCTGGTACCCAGACGCGATTGGTACCGGCTTTTTATGTAATATACTTCCTTTTCTTCTGTCAGCTGCTGCGAATTTCCGGTTGTGAAGATTGGGTTGGAGCGGTGTCCATGGGTGAATAGACCTATTAATAATGGGTTGGTTTGGGCAAGTAAGATGGCGTGAACTTGAGCAGTGGGGCGAGTGAGGGCGTCAACGATGTTTGATGTTCCCTTTTTGTACGGGAATGTGTAGTGGAAGTTGGACTCCAGGTGGTTCAACTAGCGAATCTATCGTGGATTGAGGTTTGGTTGGGTGCGAATGTACTGTAGTGACCGGTGATCTGTCCATACTTCCACGTCGGTTCCGGTAAAGTAGCATCGCCACACTTTGAACGCGTGCATGATTGCCAGCATTCCGCGGTCGTGTATCGGATAGTTGCATTCGGGCGGGTAAAGTTTGTGAGACTCGTACGCGATTGGCTGAAGGTCGTTCTCGAAATCGTGCAACAGTGCTGCTCCCATGGCGATGTCGCTTGCGTTGGTAACCAGTTCGAATGGGCGGTGTGGATCAGCAATGTGCAGTACGAGCGACGAGCACAAAATTCTCTTGAGGACCAAGAAGGAAGCCTTCTCTCCCCATGTGTACTCAACCCCCTTCCTCAGCAGAATATCAGTGGGGCAGTTAGCTTCGCCATGTCAGGGACGAACCGGCGCACGTAGTTGACGAACCCCAAAAAACTCTGCAGCTCAGTCAGATTTGTCGATGTGTGCCATGCTTGAATCTTTGCGATTTTCTTTGGGTCAATTTCCACTCTGTTGGCTGAAATAATATGTCCTAAAAACTCCACTCTGTCTTGTAAAAACTCACACTTAGATGCTTTCGTCAGTAGGCGGTTCTCACTCAGTATCTTGAAATCAGCTTCAATGCCCAGTAGGTGATGTGCTCTATCTGGGCTTTAAGCCAGTATATTGTCTAAGTAGACGATCACACACTTATCCAAAAGCGGGCGAAAGGCTTCTTTCATGGTCATTTGGAAGGTGGCGGGGGCGTTGGTCAATCCGAAGGGCATTACCATATATTCAAAGGAACTGTAGCGGGTTCGGAAGGCGGTTTTTGGGCACTCCGGCGGATTGACTTGAATCTGGGGGTAAGCTCCTCGAAAGTCGATTTTCGAGAAGACGCGGGCTGTGCGAAGTAGGTTGATCAGTTCATCGGCTCGAGGGATGGGGCAACGGGACTTGATGGTAACTCGGTTCAGTGCGCGGTAATCTATGCACAAGCGAACCCACGTCTTTCTTCGGTGTGAACAGTATCGGTGCGGCGAAGGGCGACAAACTCGGGCGAATGAATTGTTTCTCGAGCAGGTAATCCAGCTGCTTCCGCAGTTCATCCAGTTCGGGTTGGGTCAGTCGGAACTGTCGCTGTACTGTCAGTTGTGCCCCCGGTCCCAGTTCTATCCTATGGTCGTGCGGTCGCTGAGGTGGCAGTCCCGTCGGCAGGTCGTCCGCAAAAAATGTCGCTTCCCTTGTCTGCTACCTCGGCTTCCCGGGTGTCAACTGCGTGCACGTCAGTATCTGCCGCTATGGCGTGTTTCATCTTGATTGAGTTGACACACCGATGAATACTCAGGCGAGCTCCAGTGAGGTAAGGCGATGTTGTTACTGTCCACTCGCACAGTGCAATCGCCCGTCGTCCAGTCGATTCGCGGATTGTGTCGTCGCAGCCATTCACGGTCGAGTAAAATGTCGGTCGCGTCGAGGGTCGTTGCGAGCATTTCCAGGGTAAATGGGAAGCTACCTCCGTATCGAATCCGAACTCGGTCTTCACGTTCCCTTATCGCCAGTGGCGTGCCATCAACTAGTCGTGCTTAGATCTCAGATAAGCAGCTCTCCAGTGGTAGTTTCAGTCTCAGTGCTGAGGCGGTGTTGATCAAGTTGTGGCTGGCTCCCCCGTCTACGAATATTTTAATTAAATCTGTCCATATTTTCCCACTAAACAGTATGGAGATGTCTACCGTTGTACCCTCCTTATTCGGCCGGGTGTGGTCGATTGCGTGAACCGGCACAATCACTCGGTGAGGGTCGGTTGGGTCGGGCGAGCGGCGTGACCTGTCAGTAGAGGGCCCGTCTGCTACTGACTCCCAGCGTTTCCCTGCTGCTTGGTCTGTTTCTGCTGCTCAACTCCCCCCTTTCCATTAGCATTTTCTGGGCATTCGCTTTTACGGTGCCCCGGCCTCTTGCAGGCGAAGCAGCGCCCTTTAAACAGTACGGCAGCGGCCTTCGCAACAAAAATGTTTATCGTGGCGTGCTCGTTCGTCCTACGAAGCCGATGTCCCCAGCTGCTGCTGCTGCTGCTGCTGCCGTAGGACCCCGGTCTCGGTCGGCGTAAGAAGTCGAGCTTTTTCGCCAAAGCGTGAATGTTGTTGAATTCGGTGACGTCGCGGAAATGGATTTCATGGGTGATTTTGCGTTTCAGGCCGCAGATGTAGCGGTCGATGCGCTCGCCCTCGTGCATATCTGCTCACACAGCGCCAGGAACCCGCTGCTATAGTCCTGGATGGAACCGAGCCGGCACCAAGTTCGGAGTCTCTGACGCGCCGCGATCGAAGCCGCAATTGGCTCAAATCTCGCGCGCAGACCTGTGCACCACGCGTCCCAAGTGCGATACTGGAGTACTTCCACGAAATACGACGGCGCCCAAGGTTCGGTTTGTCCTTCTCGTGTCGGTAGAGTCTCGTAGTCCCCTGGCTTCGTGACGATGATGCGCCACCAGTCCATGGCGGGTCCTCACAGCAGAGACACGGCGTATCGAAGACATTCGTCATGAATAGCCATGCTCGAACTGTCGGACCACCCCGTTGACTCGGATCGAAGCTGTCACAGGATCAAACTTCCACTCAAGAATGTTGCATTTAAGGTGATTACAAGGCGTATTCATACTCGGAAATACATAGACACAAGCAATAATCCGAACCTTCGAGAACACGCTCTTCTTAGAATGGATAATCACAAGTGTGCATAATTACGCAAGCCCACCATTCGCACATTGAATTATGGCAAGATTACGCCTTGTACACCACTGTCGGTGCTGTCGGTGCAAAAAATACAAAATAAGTAAAATAATCGGAAAGCTTTGGAAAATAGAAAAGTAGTGCGATTGAGGTGAAATTAAGTGCAAATGAAAGAGGAAAATAAGGAGAATAAGATAGAGTAAAAATATGGAAATGAGAAATATGTCGAACGTCGACGTAACATCACAGAAGCAAGGCGGATGCTTCGGCTTGAGCGGTATCCGCGACGGAAGCGCCGACTTGCCGTTCGGCACCAAAATCGTGACGCGTGGTTGGCTCCTAGCCGCATTTGTCGCTCCGGGGTGTGTCGTGCCGTGGTCGTCGTCTTTGTCGTTGCGGGCGACGCCATTACTAGCCGCGCTCGAGGGTTGCCCCACGCTCCCGTGTTGTGATGCTTGACGTGTTGCTTGTCCCTGCGTGCCTTGTGTATGTGATTGTACTTGTTGTGCTCGTGCGACATTATTTTGCAATGACGTGCGTTTTGCCGTCAGCGACGTAATCTCGTCGGTGCTTTCGTGCAGCTGCTGCAGCAGTTTGTTTAGGCGCTCCTACGTGAGTGTCGTGACGTCAATATGTTCGACCATTTTGGAGGACGGCGACTCGGCTTAACTCTAGGCGCAGTCGTGGCTCCTAGGCGCAAAGGGGCGTGAGCCCCTTGGAGTGCAAAAATCAAAAGCTGATTTCTCTAGATGCGGAGATGCGCAGTTCGAAAGGAATGGCTCTGAATACCAAGTGTTACGAGTGCAATTGAACGAGATAGCGAGGTGTCGAACGAGTACAAAGTATGAGCGAAGGCATTGAGTGAATACTTATGTGGGAATCGGCAAACGGTTACGCGATGCGTGCGAGCTGGCTATTGCTAGGCTGGCATCGAGGTTCGGGCTAGTCCCGAAGCGTAGGCCGACACGGCCGGGCCAGCGGTGCATGGTTTGGTGAAACAGTGCGCGCGAAGTTGGCGAAGTCCCGTTAGCAGTAACGGGCGAAAAAATGGCTGCTGCTGTACGCGATGTTGAAGCATGCGGTAAGGAATGGCGAAAAACTTCTTACACCTTGCCACCAACCTGGATACGCCCTAGGATGGTCGGGTTTGTACGCGTTTTGGTGATGCATGTTAAAGGGCAACACCCGAATTACTCAACGGAAGTCAACGCGGGAAAATAGGTTTGGGAAAGCAGAGTGTTGAGGTTCGAAAACCTCCCCTAAACCTCTCTTCCCCGAAACCTGAAGGAGCGAGACACAAACTGGGCCCAGTTTGTGAAGGCGTTCCGGTAATTCGGGGGCGACGGTGCACTTTGGGGGGGGTGGGCCCAAAGGTTTATCACTTGCCTTGGGTGGTTACCCTGTTTGTGCTGGTGAGTCCAACGAGACACAAAGTTCAGTGTTGGCGGACTTGCGGAGTGTATCGCTCCCCCGTCATCAGCGAGGACGCCCCTGCTGGGAGTTGGGAACTTGAGGCACGCATAGCAGTTTGTGAACCAAACAAGCTGGGTTCTGCCACAGCAGAGAGTCCCAGCACATACGATGTCATCACTTGGCAAAATCTCGCGTAACAGAGCATGTCGAAGAGCACAGCTTAGCTAGTCTAACCGTCTCGCCCCCACACCGACCCGTCGCCTTCATTTCGCGCGCCCAACGAGCATCTGTTGCTCCCACTCACTCCACGCTTCCGCCTTTTGAACATCGCGGTGCGCATTCCGCGCGCTTTGGTCCGCGACCGCGCACGCAGAGGCGCAGACTTGACCAAACAGGCGACGGGACGTCCGCGCTCACAATCTCGCCTAAGATACAGCGTAATCGTATAACATCGCACGCACTGCCCCCCATGGCACGCGTTTCCGAGTCGACGTCGCGTACGCTCACACCAACCCATCGATCATTCACACTCCCCTCGTCCGCCCCCGCGCACTCCCATCTTTCGCCCCCACGCACTCCCCTCCGTCGCCCACACGCACTCCCCTCCGTCGCCCACTCGCACTCCCCTCCGTCGCCCACGCGCACTCCCCACCGTCGCCCACGCGCACTCCCCTCCGTCACCCACGCGCACACCCCTCCGTCGCCCACGCGCACTCCCCTCCGTCGCCCACGCGCACTCCCCTCCGTCGTCCACGCGCACTCCCCTCCGTCGCCCACGCGCACTCCCCTCCGTCGCCCACGCGCACTCCCCACCGTGCTAGCAGCAGCCCCCTTCCTTTCCCCCTTTACAACCCTAAACTCCCTCTCCCCCCTGCCTCCCCGCCGTCTCCTCCCTGCTTCCCCTCCTCCCCCGCCCCCTGCTTCCCCGCACGAAGGGCGGACGGTAGCCAGCAGCAAATCGCGCGACGGGCGGACGAGCAGCGACACAGAGCGTTTGCGAGAACAGGGATTCAGCTGCTAATGCGCTGCCCTGCTAAGGGATTGCGAGGGCCAAAACCCACTTTGGTAAGCATCGACGCCGTGTCGGGGGCCTGTTCCTTATTTTCCACAACCCCATCGTCTGCACATTGCGGCTACTCCAATCCCCGCCCCTCCTCACGCATCTCCCTTCCGCACTGACCGCGTCTCATTCTTCCCCCCCCCATCCCTATTTTCCCTCTCTTTCCCTTGACCCTGCTTCCCCCTCTCTCATCACTGCCTTACGCCATGCTTCCATCTTTCCCCTCTCTGCCCTACACCATGCGTCCCCCTCCCCCTTGTCTTCCAAACACCCTTCCTCCCACTCTCCCCTCTCTTCCTTTCCACCTTCTTCCCCCACCATGCCCTCTCTGCTTTACGCCCTGCTTTCCCCTTTCTCCTCGTCGCCCTATACCCTTCTTCCCCCCTATTTCCTCACGCCGTTGCCATTTTTCACTCCCATTCCCTCTCTCGCATTCACCCGTCTTCCCCCTTTCACCCGTCTGCCTTCCACCCTTCCTCCCCTTTTCCCCGCTCCGCCATACACCCTTCCTCCGCCTTTCTACCCTCTCTGCCATATGCCCTTCTTCCCCACTTTCTCCTCCTCCTTCCACCCTTCTTCTCCCTTTCCCCTCTCTGCCGTATGCCCTTCGTCCCCACTTTCTCCTCTTCCTTCCTCCCTTCTTCTCCCCTTCCCCTCTCTGCCATATGCCCTTCTTCCCCACTGTTTCCTCTTCCATCCACCCTTGTTCTCCCCTTCCCCTCTCTGCCGTATGCCCCTCTTCCCCACTTTCTCCTCTTCCTTCCACCCTTGTTCTTCCCTTCCCCTCTCAGCCTTACGTCCTTCTTCCCCCTTTTACCCTCCTCTTTACTCCCTTCTCCCATAGTCCCATCTCAGCCTCGCACCTTTTTTGGGACCCTCGCGCCACTGCGCCTCAATCTCGTTCATACACCCTTCCCCAATCTCCGAATCCGGGTACTTTTTCCACACCCTCTCTGCCATTCACCCTACTTCTCCCCTTTCTCTCTCTGTGTTACACCCTTCTTCCGCCTATCGCCTCTATGCCCTGCACCCTTTATCCCCCTTACGCCACTCTGCCATACTCCCCTTCTTCTACCTTTCAACTATCTCCCTTACCTCCGACCTCACCCTTTCCCTCTCTGCCTCTCACCCTTCTTTTCCCCTTTCCCCCAATCCCCTTTCCCATTACCACCCTCTGCCTTACACCCGACAACTCCCTTTCCCCTCTCATCTCTACACTCTTCAACCCCCGCCATGCATGCTCTGTCATACGCCCTTCCCCCTTTCGCCTCTGTCTTACACTCTTCTACCCCTATTCCCCACTATGCCATTCCCCCTCTTTCCGCCTCTCCACCCTCGCTGCCTTACGCCCTTCATCCCCCCTTTTCCCTATTCCTTCCACCCTTCATCCCCCTTTTCCCCTTTCCCTTCCACCCTTCCTCCCCCTTTTCCCCTCTCTTCCCTACACCATTCTTTCGCCGGGCCCCTTTCTGCCTACCACGTTCTTCCACCTTTCCACCCTCGCTGCCTTACACTCTTCTTCCCCTTGCCCCTTGTCTCCCAGCACCGTTTCTCCCTTTCCTCCGACCTCCCCCTTTCCCACTGTGCCATTCACACATCCTCTCCGCTTTACACCTCTCTACCGCCTTGGTCCACTACGCCTTTTGCCCTGCTTCCCCCTTGTCACTCTCTTCCATACACACGTCCGCCCCCTCTCCCCCTCCGCCTAACACCTTCTTGCCCCTCTCCCTTCTCTCTGCTTGTTTCCCCCAACGTCCACCTCTCACCCACGTGCATTCCCCACCGTACAGGTTTCATAGCAGCATCCCCGTACTTTCCCAGTTTGCATCCCTAAACTCCCTCTCCCCCGCCCCCTCCCCTTCCCCCCCTGCTTCCCCTCCTTTCCTTGAGTGCTTCCCGTCCATCCCACCCTCTGCTTCCTTTTTTCCCTCTCTGCCCTACATCCATCTCCCCCGTTTCCCCTCTCTGCCGTACACCCTACCTCCCCCTGCCCCCCTCTCCGCCTTAGCCATTCTCCCCCCTTTTCCCCTCTTCCATACTCCCAACTTCCCCCTTCCCCCTCTCTGCATTACTCGCCGTTTTCCCCCTTGCACCACCCTGCCTTACTCCCCTGCCACCACCTTCTCCCTACCTCCCTTGCTACCATCTCCTCGATTCCCCCGTCTGGCCTCCCTGTTCTTACTCCGCTCCCTGTTCTCTCTGCCCCACGCAGACTCAGCGCCCTACACGTCTGCCCCGCACCTCTCTGCTCAACGTCTCCAATCCGCGACCCACGCCGCTGCCGCGCATCTCCTTGGGTGTGTGTAAGGCGCAGCTACACTCCAATCAACACTCCTAGAGAGGAACCAGGTACAGCACACTAACGACACCTCGAGTCTCTACCACCCCTTCTGACTCTTACCTCCATCCCCACACTTCTTTGACCTCCCTAACGCCCCCCCCCCTGCATGACCTCCTCACACTGCCTTTCCTCTCTCAACCCCCTCCTCTCTGGGCCCATCACAAATGCAACTCCAGAACTTATCCTTCCCCCCGTCCGGCCCTGTCTCACACCCTTCTTGGAAATATTCCCCACTCAGCCATACCCCGCTGTTCACAACTTTTCCACCCTCTCTGCCTTACGCCCTTCATCCCCCTTTCCACCCTCTCTGCCTTACGCCCTTCATCCCCCTTTCCACCCTCTCTGCCTTACGCCCTTCATCCCCCTTTCCACCCTCTCTGCCTTACGCCCTTCATCCCCCTTTCCACCCTCTCTGCCTTACGCCCTTCATCCCCCTTTCCACCCTCTCTGCCTTACGCCCTTCATCCCCCTTTCCACCCTCTCTGCCTTACGCCCTTCATCCCCCTTTCCACCCTCTCTGCCTTACGCCCTTCATCCCCCTTTCCACCCTCTCTGCCTTACGCCCTTCATCCCCCTTTCCACCCTCTCTGCCTTACGCCCTTCATCCCCCTTTCCACCCTCTCTGCCTTACGCCCTTCATCCCCCTTTCCACCCTCTCTGCCTTACGCCCTTCATCCCCCTTTCCACCCTCTCTGCCTTACGCCCTTCATCCCCCTTTCCACCCTCTCTGCCTTACGCCCTTCATCCCCCTTTCCACCCTCTCTGCCTTACGCCCTTCATCCCCCTTTCCACCCTCTCTGCCTTACGCCCTTCATCCCCCTTTCCACCCTCTCTGCCTTACGCCCTTCATCCCCCTTTCCACCCTCTCTGCCTTACGCCCTTCATCCCCCTTTCCACCCTCTCTGCCTTACGCCCTTCATCCCCCTTTCCACCCTCTCTGCCTTACGCCCTTCATCCCCCTTTCCACCCTCTCTGCCTTACGCCCTTCATCCCCCTTTCCACCCTCTCTGCCTTACGCCCTTCATCCCCCTTTCCACCCTCTCTGCCTTACGCCCTTCATCCCCCTTTCCACCCTCTCTGCCTTACGCCCTTCATCCCCCTTTCCACCCTCTCTGCCTTACGCCCTTCATCCCCCTTTCCACCCTCTCTGCCTTACGCCCTTCATCCCCCTTTCCACCCTCTCTGCCTTACGCCCTTCATCCCCCTTTCCACCCTCTCTGCCTTACGCCCTTCATCCCCCTTTCCACCCTCTCTGCCTTACGCCCTTCATCCCCCTTTCCACCCTCTCTCCTTACGCCCTTCATCCCCCTTTCCACCCTCTCTGCCTTACGCCCTTCATCCCCCTTTCCACCCTCTCTGCCTTACGCCCTTCATCCCCCTTTCCACCCTCTCTGCCTTACGCCCTTCATCCCCCTTTCCACCCTCTCTGCCTTACGCCCTTCATCCCCCTTTCCACCCTCTCTGCCTTACGCCCTTCATCCCCCTTTCCACCCTCTCTGCCTTACGCCCTTCATCCCCCTTTCCACCCTCTCTGCCTTACGCCCTTCATCCCCCTTTCCACCCTCTCTGCCTTACGCCCTTCATCCCCCTTTCCACCCTCTCTGCCTTACGCCCTTCATCCCCCTTTCCACCCTCTCTGCCTTACGCCCTTCATCCCCCTTTCCACCCTCTCTGCCTTACGCCCTTCATCCCCCTTTCCACCCTCTCTGCCTTACGCCCTTCATCCCCCTTTCCACCCTCTCTGCCTTACGCCCTTCATCCCCCTTTCCACCCTCTCTGCCTTACGCCCTTCATCCCCCTTTCCACCCTCTCTGCCTTACGCCCTTCATCCCCCTTTCCACCCTCTCTGCCTTACGCCCTTCATCCCCCTTTCCACCCTCTCTGCCTTACGCCCTTCATCCCCCTTTCCACCCTCTCTGCCTTACGCCCTTCATCCCCCTTTCCACCCTCTCTGCCTTACGCCCTTCATCCCCCTTTCCACCCTCTCTGCCTTACGCCCTTCATCCCCCTTTCCACCCTCTCTGCCTTACGCCCTTCATCCCCCTTTCCACCCTCTCTGCCTTACGCCCTTCATCCCCCTTTCCACCCTCTCTGCCTTACGCCCTTCATCCCCCTTTCCACCCTCTCTGCCTTACGCCCTTCATCCCCCTTTCCACCCTCTCTGCCTTACGCCCTTCATCCCCCTTTCCACCCTCTCTGCCTTACGCCCTTCATCCCCCTTTCCACCCTCTCTGCCTTACGCCCTTCATCCCCCTTTCCACCCTCTCTGCCTTACGCCCTTCATCCCCCTTTCCACCCTCTCTGCCTTACGCCCTTCATCCCCCTTTCCACCCTCTCTGCCTTACGCCCTTCATCCCCCTTTCCACCCTCTCTGCCTTACGCCCTTCATCCCCCTTTCCACCCTCTCTGCCTTACGCCCTTCATCCCCCTTTCCACCCTCTCTGCCTTACGCCCTTCATCCCCCTTTCCACCCTCTCTGCCTTACGCCCTTCATCCCCCTTTCCACCCTCTCTGCCTTACGCCCTTCATCCCCCTTTCCACCCTCTCTGCCTTACGCCCTTCATCCCCCTTTCCACCCTCTCTGCCTTACGCCCTTCATCCCCCTTTCCACCCTCTCTGCCTTACGCCCTTCATCCCCCTTTCCACCCTCTCTGCCTTACGCCCTTCATCCCCCTTTCCACCCTCTCTGCCTTACGCCCTTCATCCCCCTTTCCACCCTCTCTGCCTTACGCCCTTCATCCCCCTTTCCACCCTCTCTGCCTTACGCCCTTCATCCCCCTTTCCACCCTCTCTGCCTTACGCCCTTCATCCCCCTTTCCACCCTCTCTGCCTTACGCCCTTCATCCCCCTTTCCACCCTCTCTGCCTTACGCCCTTCATCCCCCTTTCCACCCTCTCTGCCTTACGCCCTTCATCCCCCTTTCCACCCTCTCTGCCTTACGCCCTTCATCCCCCTTTCCACCCTCTCTGCCTTACGCCCTTCATCCCCCTTTCCACCCTCTCTGCCTTACGCCCTTCATCCCCCTTTCCACCCTCTCTGCCTTACGCCCTTCATCCCCCTTTCCACCCTCTCTGCCTTACGCCCTTCATCCCCCTTTCCACCCTCTCTGCCTTACGCCCTTCATCCCCCTTTCCACCCTCTCTGCCTTACGCCCTTCATCCCCCTTTCCACCCTCTCTGCCTTACGCCCTTCATCCCCCTTTCCACCCTCTCTGCCTTACGCCCTTCATCCCCCTTTCCACCCTCTCTGCCTTACGCCCTTCATCCCCCTTTCCACCCTCTCTGCCTTACGCCCTTCATCCCCCTTTCCACCCTCTCTGCCTTACGCCCTTCATCCCCCTTTCCACCCTCTCTGCCTTACGCCCTTCATCCCCCTTTCCACCCTCTCTGCCTTACGCCCTTCATCCCCCTTTCCACCCTCTCTGCCTTACGCCCTTCATCCCCCTTTCCACCCTCTCTGCCTTACGCCCTTCATCCCCCTTTCCACCCTCTCTGCCTTACGCCCTTCATCCCCCTTTCCACCCTCTCTGCCTTACGCCCTTCATCCCCCTTTCCACCCTCTCTGCCTTACGCCCTTCATCCCCCTTTCCACCCTCTCTGCCTTACGCCCTTCATCCCCCTTTCCACCCTCTCTGCCTTACGCCCTTCATCCCCCTTTCCACCCTCTCTGCCTTACGCCCTTCATCCCCCTTTCCACCCTCTCTGCCTTACGCCCTTCATCCCCTTTCCACCCTCTCTGCCTTACGCCCTTCATCCCCCTTTCCACCCTCTCTGCCTTACGCCCTTCATCCCCCTTTCCACCCTCTCTGCCTTACGCCCTTCATCCCCCTTTCCACCCTCTCTGCCTTACGCCCTTCATCCCCCTTTCCACCCTCTCTGCCTTACGCCCTTCATCCCCCTTTCCACCCTCTCTGCCTTACGCCCTTCATCCCCCTTTCCACCCTCTCTGCCTTACGCCCTTCATCCCCCTTTCCACCCTCTCTGCCTTACGCCCTTCATCCCCCTTTCCACCCTCTCTGCCTTACGCCCTTCATCCCCCTTTCCACCCTCTCTGCCTTACGCCCTTCATCCCCCTTTCCACCCTCTCTGCCTTACGCCCTTCATCCCCCTTTCCACCCTCTCTGCCTTACGCCCTTCATCCCCCTTTCCACCCTCTCTGCCTTACGCCCTTCATCCCCCTTTCCACCCTCTCTGCCTTACGCCCTTCATCCCCCTTTCCACCCTCTCTGCCTTACGCCCTTCATCCCCCTTTCCACCCTCTCTGCCTTACGCCCTTCATCCCCCTTTCCACCCTCTCTGCCTTACGCCCTTCATCCCCCTTTCCACCCTCTCTGCCTTACGCCCTTCATCCCCCTTTCCACCCTCTCTGCCTTACGCCCTTCATCCCCCTTTCCACCCTCTCTGCCTTACGCCCTTCATCCCCCTTTCCACCCTCTCTGCCTTACGCCCTTCATCCCCCTTTCCACCCTCTCTGCCTTACGCCCTTCATCCCCCTTTCCACCCTCTCTGCCTTACGCCCTTCATCCCCCTTTCCACCCTCTCTGCCTTACGCCCTTCATCCCCCTTTCCACCCTCTCTGCCTTACGCCCTTCATCCCCCTTTCCACCCTCTCTGCCTTACGCCCTTCATCCCCCTTTCCACCCTCTCTGCCTTACGCCCTTCATCCCCCTTTCCACCCTCTCTGCCTTACGCCCTTCATCCCCCTTTCCACCCTCTCTGCCTTACGCCCTTCATCCCCCTTTCCACCCTCTCTGCCTTACGCCCTTCATCCCCCTTTCCACCCTCTCTGCCTTACGCCCTTCATCCCCCTTTCCACCCTCTCTGCCTTACGCCCTTCATCCCCCTTTCCACCCTCTCTGCCTTACGCCCTTCATCCCCCTTTCCACCCTCTCTGCCTTACGCCCTTCATCCCCCTTTCCACCCTCTCTGCCTTACGCCCTTCATCCCCCTTTCCACCCTCTCTGCCTTACGCCCTTCATCCCCCTTTCCACCCTCTCTGCCTTACGCCCTTCATCCCCCTTTCCACCCTCTCTGCCTTACGCCCTTCATCCCCCTTTCCACCCTCTCTGCCTTACGCCCTTCATCCCCCTTTCCACCCTCTCTGCCTTACGCCCTTCATCCCCCTTTCCACCCTCTCTGCCTTACGCCCTTCATCCCCCTTTCCACCCTCTCTGCCTTACGCCCTTCATCCCCCTTTCCACCCTCTCTGCCTTACGCCCTTCATCCCCCTTTCCACCCTCTCTGCCTTACGCCCTTCATCCCCCTTTCCACCCTCTCTGCCTTACGCCCTTCATCCCCCTTTCCACCCTCTCTGCCTTACGCCCTTCATCCCCCTTTCCACCCTCTCTGCCTTACGCCCTTCATCCCCCTTTCCACCCTCTCTGCCTTACGCCCTTCATCCCCCTTTCCACCCTCTCTGCCTTACGCCCTTCATCCCCCTTTCCACCCTCTCTGCCTTACGCCCTTCATCCCCCTTTCCACCCTCTCTGCCTTACGCCCTTCATCCCCCTTTCCACCCTCTCTGCCTTACGCCCTTCATCCCCCTTTCCACCCTCTCTGCCTTACGCCCTTCATCCCCCTTTCCACCCTCTCTGCCTTACGCCCTTCATCCCCCTTTCCACCCTCTCTGCCTTACGCCCTTCATCCCCCTTTCCACCCTCTCTGCCTTACGCCCTTCATCCCCCTTTCCACCCTCTCTGCCTTACGCCCTTCATCCCCCTTTCCACCCTCTCTGCCTTACGCCCTTCATCCCCCTTTCCACCCTCTCTGCCTTACGCCCTTCATCCCCCTTTCCACCCTCTCTGCCTTACGCCCTTCATCCCCCTTTCCACCCTCTCTGCCTTACGCCCTTCATCCCCCTTTCCACCCTCTCTGCCTTACGCCCTTCATCCCCCTTTCCACCCTCTCTGCCTTACGCCCTTCATCCCCCTTTCCACCCTCTCTGCCTTACGCCCTTCATCCCCCTTTCCACCCTCTCTGCCTTACGCCCTTCATCCCCCTTTCCACCCTCTCTGCCTTACGCCCTTCATCCCCCTTTCCACCCTCTCTGCCTTACGCCCTTCATCCCCCTTTCCACCCTCTCTGCCTTACGCCCTTCATCCCCCTTTCCACCCTCTCTGCCTTACGCCCTTCATCCCCCTTTCCACCCTCTCTGCCTTACGCCCTTCATCCCCCTTTCCACCCTCTCTGCCTTACGCCCTTCATCCCCCTTTCCACCCTCTCTGCCTTACGCCCTTCATCCCCCTTTCCACCCTCTCTGCCTTACGCCCTTCATCCCCCTTTCCACCCTCTCTGCCTTACGCCCTTCATCCCCCTTTCCACCCTCTCTGCCTTACGCCCTTCATCCCCCTTTCCACCCTCTCTGCCTTACGCCCTTCATCCCCCTTTCCACCCTCTCTGCCTTACGCCCTTCATCCCCCTTTCCACCCTCTCTGCCTTACGCCCTTCATCCCCCTTTCCACCCTCTCTGCCTTACGCCCTTCATCCCCCTTTCCACCCTCTCTGCCTTACGCCCTTCATCCCCCTTTCCACCCTCTCTGCCTTACGCCCTTCATCCCCCTTTCCACCCTCTCTGCCTTACGCCCTTCATCCCCCTTTCCACCCTCTCTGCCTTACGCCCTTCATCCCCCTTTCCACCCTCTCTGCCTTACGCCCTTCATCCCCCTTTCCACCCTCTCTGCCTTACGCCCTTCATCCCCCTTTCCACCCTCTCTGCCTTACGCCCTTCATCCCCCTTTCCACCCTCTCTGCCTTACGCCCTTCATCCCCCTTTCCACCCTCTCTGCCTTACGCCCTTCATCCCCCTTTCCACCCTCTCTGCCTTACGCCCTTCATCCCCCTTTCCACCCTCTCTGCCTTACGCCCTTCATCCCCCTTTCCACCCTCTCTGCCTTACGCCCTTCATCCCCCTTTCCACCCTCTCTGCCTTACGCCCTTCATCCCCCTTTCCACCCTCTCTGCCTTACGCCCTTCATCCCCCTTTCCACCCTCTCTGCCTTACGCCCTTCATCCCCCTTTCCACCCTCTCTGCCTTACGCCCTTCATCCCCCTTTCCACCCTCTCTGCCTTACGCCCTTCATCCCCCTTTCCACCCTCTCTGCCTTACGCCCTTCATCCCCCTTTCCACCCTCTCTGCCTTACGCCCTTCATCCCCCTTTCCACCCTCTCTGCCTTACGCCCTTCATCCCCCTTTCCACCCTCTCTGCCTTACGCCCTTCATCCCCCTTTCCACCCTCTCTGCCTTACGCCCTTCATCCCCCTTTCCACCCTCTCTGCCTTACGCCCTTCATCCCCCTTTCCACCCTCTCTGCCTTACGCCCTTCATCCCCCTTTCCACCCTCTCTGCCTTACGCCCTTCATCCCCCTTTCCACCCTCTCTGCCTTACGCCCTTCATCCCCCTTTCCACCCTCTCTGCCTTACGCCCTTCATCCCCCTTTCCACCCTCTCTGCCTTACGCCCTTCATCCCCCTTTCCACCCTCTCTGCCTTACGCCCTTCATCCCCCTTTCCACCCTCTCTGCCTTACGCCCTTCATCCCCCTTTCCACCCTCTCTGCCTTACGCCCTTCATCCCCCTTTCCACCCTCTCTGCCTTACGCCCTTCATCCCCCTTTCCACCCTCTCTGCCTTACGCCCTTCATCCCCCTTTCCACCCTCTCTGCCTTACGCCCTTCATCCCCCTTTCCACCCTCTCTGCCTTACGCCCTTCATCCCCCTTTCCACCCTCTCTGCCTTACGCCCTTCATCCCCCTTTCCACCCTCTCTGCCTTACGCCCTTCATCCCCCTTTCCACCCTCTCTGCCTTACGCCCTTCATCCCCCTTTCCACCCTCTCTGCCTTACGCCCTTCATCCCCCTTTCCACCCTCTCTGCCTTACGCCCTTCATCCCCCTTTCCACCCTCTCTGCCTTACGCCCTTCATCCCCCTTTCCACCCTCTCTGCCTTACGCCCTTCATCCCCCTTTCCACCCTCTCTGCCTTACGCCCTTCATCCCCCTTTCCACCCTCTCTGCCTTACGCCCTTCATCCCCCTTTCCACCCTCTCTGCCTTACGCCCTTCATCCCCCTTTCCACCCTCTCTGCCTTACGCCCTTCATCCCCCTTTCCACCCTCTCTGCCTTACGCCCTTCATCCCCCTTTCCACCCTCTCTGCCTTACGCCCTTCATCCCCCTTTCCACCCTCTCTGCCTTACGCCCTTCATCCCCCTTTCCACCCTCTCTGCCTTACGCCCTTCATCCCCCTTTCCACCCTCTCTGCCTTACGCCCTTCATCCCCCTTTCCACCCTCTCTGCCTTACGCCCTTCATCCCCCTTTCCACCCTCTCTGCCTTACGCCCTTCATCCCCCTTTCCACCCTCTCTGCCTTACGCCCTTCATCCCCCTTTCCACCCTCTCTGCCTTACGCCCTTCATCCCCCTTTCCACCCTCTCTGCCTTACGCCCTTCATCCCCCTTTCCACCCTCTCTGCCTTACGCCCTTCATCCCCCTTTCCACCCTCTCTGCCTTACGCCCTTCATCCCCCTTTCCACCCTCTCTGCCTTACGCCCTTCATCCCCCTTTCCACCCTCTCTGCCTTACGCCCTTCATCCCCCTTTCCACCCTCTCTGCCTTACGCCCTTCATCCCCCTTTCCACCCTCTCTGCCTTACGCCCTTCATCCCCCTTTCCACCCTCTCTGCCTTACGCCCTTCATCCCCCTTTCCACCCTCTCTGCCTTACGCCCTTCATCCCCCTTTCCACCCTCTCTGCCTTACGCCCTTCATCCCCCTTTCCACCCTCTCTGCCTTACGCCCTTCATCCCCCTTTCCACCCTCTCTGCCTTACGCCCTTCATCCCCCTTTCCACCCTCTCTGCCTTACGCCCTTCATCCCCCTTTCCACCCTCTCTGCCTTACGCCCTTCATCCCCCTTTCCACCCTCTCTGCCTTACGCCCTTCATCCCCCTTTCCACCCTCTCTGCCTTACGCCCTTCATCCCCCTTTCCACCCTCTCTGCCTTACGCCCTTCATCCCCCTTTCCACCCTCTCTGCCTTACGCCCTTCATCCCCCTTTCCACCCTCTCTGCCTTACGCCCTTCATCCCCCTTTCCACCCTCTCTGCCTTACGCCCTTCATCCCCCTTTCCACCCTCTCTGCCTTACGCCCTTCATCCCCCTTTCCACCCTCTCTGCCTTACGCCCTTCATCCCCTTTCCACCCTCTCTGCCTTACGCCCTTCATCCCCCTTTCCACCCTCTCTGCCTTACGCCCTTCATCCCCCTTTCCACCCTCTCTGCCTTACGCCCTTCATCCCCCTTTCCACCCTCTCTGCCTTACGCCCTTCATCCCCCTTTCCACCCTCTCTGCCTTACGCCCTTCATCCCCCTTTCCACCCTCTCTGCCTTACGCCCTTCATCCCCCTTTCCACCCTCTCTGCCTTACGCCCTTCATCCCCCTTTCCACCCTCTCTGCCTTACGCCCTTCATCCCCCTTTCCACCCTCTCTGCCTTACGCCCTTCATCCCCCTTTCCACCCTCTCTGCCTTACGCCCTTCATCCCCCTTTCCACCCTCTCTGCCTTACGCCCTTCATCCCCCTTTCCACCCTCTCTGCCTTACGCCCTTCATCCCCCTTTCCACCCTCTCTGCCTTACGCCCTTCATCCCCCTTTCCACCCTCTCTGCCTTACGCCCTTCATCCCCCTTTCCACCCTCTCTGCCTTACGCCCTTCATCCCCCTTTCCACCCTCTCTGCCTTACGCCCTTCATCCCCCTTTCCACCCTCTCTGCCTTACGCCCTTCATCCCCCTTTCCACCCTCTCTGCCTTACGCCCTTCATCCCCCTTTCCACCCTCTCTGCCTTACGCCCTTCATCCCCCTTTCCACCCTCTCTGCCTTACGCCCTTCATCCCCCTTTCCACCCTCTCTGCCTTACGCCCTTCATCCCCCTTTCCACCCTCTCTGCCTTACGCCCTTCATCCCCCTTTCCACCCTCTCTGCCTTACGCCCTTCATCCCCTTTCCACCCTCTCTGCCTTACGCCCTTCATCCCCCTTTCCACCCTCTCTGCCTTACGCCCTTCATCCCCCTTTCCACCCTCTCTGCCTTACGCCCTTCATCCCCCTTTCCACCCTCTCTGCCTTACGCCCTTCATCCCCCTTTCCACCCTCTCTGCCTTACGCCCTTCATCCCCCTTTCCACCCTCTCTGCCTTACGCCCTTCATCCCCCTTTCCACCCTCTCTGCCTTACGCCCTTCATCCCCCTTTCCACCCTCTCTGCCTTACGCCCTTCATCCCCCTTTCCACCCTCTCTGCCTTACGCCCTTCATCCCCCTTTCCACCCTCTCTGCCTTACGCCCTTCATCCCCCTTTCCACCCTCTCTGCCTTACGCCCTTCATCCCCCTTTCCACCCTCTCTGCCTTACGCCCTTCATCCCCCTTTCCACCCTCTCTGCCTTACGCCCTTCATCCCCCTTTCCACCCTCTCTGCCTTACGCCCTTCATCCCCCTTTCCACCCTCTCTGCCTTACGCCCTTCATCCCCCTTTCCACCCTCTCTGCCTTACGCCCTTCATCCCCCTTTCCACCCTCTCTGCCTTACGCCCTTCATCCCCCTTTCCACCCTCTCTGCCTTACGCCCTTCATCCCCCTTTCCACCCTCTCTGCCTTACGCCCTTCATCCCCTTTCCACCCTCTCTGCCTTACGCCCTTCATCCCCCTTTCCACCCTCTCTGCCTTACGCCCTTCATCCCCCTTTCCACCCTCTCTGCCTTACGCCCTTCATCCCCCTTTCCACCCTCTCTGCCTTACGCCCTTCATCCCCCTTTCCACCCTCTCTGCCTTACGCCCTTCATCCCCCTTTCCACCCTCTCTGCCTTACGCCCTTCATCCCCCTTTCCACCCTCTCTGCCTTACGCCCTTCATCCCCCTTTCCACCCTCTCTGCCTTACGCCCTTCATCCCCCTTTCCACCCTCTCTGCCTTACGCCCTTCATCCCCCTTTCCACCCTCTCTGCCTTACGCCCTTCATCCCCCTTTCCACCCTCTCTGCCTTACGCCCTTCATCCCCCTTTCCACCCTCTCTGCCTTACGCCCTTCATCCCCCTTTCCACCCTCTCTGCCTTACGCCCTTCATCCCCCTTTCCACCCTCTCTGCCTTACGCCCTTCATCCCCCTTTCCACCCTCTCTGCCTTACGCCCTTCATCCCCCTTTCCACCCTCTCTGCCTTACGCCCTTCATCCCCCTTTCCACCCTCTCTGCCTTACGCCCTTCATCCCCCTTTCCACCCTCTCTGCCTTACGCCCTTCATCCCCCTTTCCACCCTCTCTGCCTTACGCCCTTCATCCCCCTTTCCACCCTCTCTGCCTTACGCCCTTCATCCCCCTTTCCACCCTCTCTGCCTTACGCCCTTCATCCCCCTTTCCACCCTCTCTGCCTTACGCCCTTCATCCCCCTTTCCACCCTCTCTGCCTTACGCCCTTCATCCCCCTTTCCACCCTCTCTGCCTTACGCCCTTCATCCCCCTTTCCACCCTCTCTGCCTTACGCCCTTCATCCCCCTTTCCACCCTCTCTGCCTTACGCCCTTCATCCCCCTTTCCACCCTCTCTGCCTTACGCCCTTCATCCCCCTTTCCACCCTCTCTGCCTTACGCCCTTCATCCCCCTTTCCACCCTCTCTGCCTTACGCCCTTCATCCCCCTTTCCACCCTCTCTGCCTTACGCCCTTCATCCCCCTTTCCACCCTCTCTGCCTTACGCCCTTCATCCCCCTTTCCACCCTCTCTGCCTTACGCCCTTCATCCCCCTTTCCACCCTCTCTGCCTTACGCCCTTCATCCCCCTTTCCACCCTCTCTGCCTTACGCCCTTCATCCCCCTTTCCACCCTCTCTGCCTTACGCCCTTCATCCCCCTTTCCACCCTCTCTGCCTTACGCCCTTCATCCCCCTTTCCACCCTCTCTGCCTTACGCCCTTCATCCCCCTTTCCACCCTCTCTGCCTTACGCCCTTCATCCCCCTTTCCACCCTCTCTGCCTTACGCCCTTCATCCCCCTTTCCACCCTCTCTGCCTTACGCCCTTCATCCCCCTTTCCACCCTCTCTGCCTTACGCCCTTCATCCCCCTTTCCACCCTCTCTGCCTTACGCCCTTCATCCCCCTTTCCACCCTCTCTGCCTTACGCCCTTCATCCCCCTTTCCACCCTCTCTGCCTTACGCCCTTCATCCCCCTTTCCACCCTCTCTGCCTTACGCCCTTCATCCCCCTTTCCACCCTCTCTGCCTTACGCCCTTCATCCCCCTTTCCACCCTCTCTGCCTTACGCCCTTCATCCCCCTTTCCACCCTCTCTGCCTTACGCCCTTCATCCCCCTTTCCACCCTCTCTGCCTTACGCCCTTCATCCCCCTTTCCACCCTCTCTGCCTTACGCCCTTCATCCCCCTTTCCACCCTCTCTGCCTTACGCCCTTCATCCCCCTTTCCACCCTCTCTGCCTTACGCCCTTCATCCCCCTTTCCACCCTCTCTGCCTTACGCCCTTCATCCCCCTTTCCACCCTCTCTGCCTTACGCCCTTCATCCCCCTTTCCACCCTCTCTGCCTTACGCCCTTCATCCCCCTTTCCACCCTCTCTGCCTTACGCCCTTCATCCCCCTTTCCACCCTCTCTGCCTTACGCCCTTCATCCCCCTTTCCACCCTCTCTGCCTTACGCCCTTCATCCCCCTTTCCACCCTCTCTGCCTTACGCCCTTCATCCCCCTTTCCACCCTCTCTGCCTTACGCCCTTCATCCCCCTTTCCACCCTCTCTGCCTTACGCCCTTCATCCCCCTTTCCACCCTCTCTGCCTTACGCCCTTCATCCCCCTTTCCACCCTCTCTGCCTTACGCCCTTCATCCCCCTTTCCACCCTCTCTGCCTTACGCCCTTCATCCCCCTTTCCACCCTCTCTGCCTTACGCCCTTCATCCCCCTTTCCACCCTCTCTGCCTTACGCCCTTCATCCCCCTTTCCACCCTCTCTGCCTTACGCCCTTCATCCCCCTTTCCACCCTCTCTGCCTTACGCCCTTCATCCCCCTTTCCACCCTCTCTGCCTTACGCCCTTCATCCCCCTTTCCACCCTCTCTGCCTTACGCCCTTCATCCCCCTTTCCACCCTCTCTGCCTTACGCCCTTCATCCCCCTTTCCACCCTCTCTGCCTTACGCCCTTCATCCCCCTTTCCACCCTCTCTGCCTTACGCCCTTCATCCCCCTTTCCACCCTCTCTGCCTTACGCCCTTCATCCCCCTTTCCACCCTCTCTGCCTTACGCCCTTCATCCCCCTTTCCACCCTCTCTGCCTTACGCCCTTCATCCCCCTTTCCACCCTCTCTGCCTTACGCCCTTCATCCCCCTTTCCACCCTCTCTGCCTTACGCCCTTCATCCCCCTTTCCACCCTCTCTGCCTTACGCCCTTCATCCCCCTTTCCACCCTCTCTGCCTTACGCCCTTCATCCCCCTTTCCACCCTCTCTGCCTTACGCCCTTCATCCCCCTTTCCACCCTCTCTGCCTTACGCCCTTCATCCCCCTTTCCACCCTCTCTGCCTTACGCCCTTCATCCCCCTTTCCACCCTCTCTGCCTTACGCCCTTCATCCCCCTTTCCACCCTCTCTGCCTTACGCCCTTCATCCCCCTTTCCACCCTCTCTGCCTTACGCCCTTCATCCCCCTTTCCACCCTCTCTGCCTTACGCCCTTCATCCCCCTTTCCACCCTCTCTGCCTTACGCCCTTCATCCCCCTTTCCACCCTCTCTGCCTTACGCCCTTCATCCCCCTTTCCACCCTCTCTGCCTTACGCCCTTCATCCCCCTTTCCACCCTCTCTGCCTTACGCCCTTCATCCCCCTTTCCACCCTCTCTGCCTTACGCCCTTCATCCCCCTTTCCACCCTCTCTGCCTTACGCCCTTCATCCCCCTTTCCACCCTCTCTGCCTTACGCCCTTCATCCCCCTTTCCACCCTCTCTGCCTTACGCCCTTCATCCCCCTTTCCACCCTCTCTGCCTTACGCCCTTCATCCCCTTTCCACCCTCTCTGCCTTACGCCCTTCATCCCCCTTTCCACCCTCTCTGCCTTACGCCCTTCATCCCCCTTTCCACCCTCTCTGCCTTACGCCCTTCATCCCCCTTTCCACCCTCTCTGCCTTACGCCCTTCATCCCCCTTTCCACCCTCTCTGCCTTACGCCCTTCATCCCCCTTTCCACCCTCTCTGCCTTACGCCCTTCATCCCCCTTTCCACCCTCTCTGCCTTACGCCCTTCATCCCCCTTTCCACCCTCTCTGCCTTACGCCCTTCATCCCCCTTTCCACCCTCTCTGCCTTACGCCCTTCATCCCCCTTTCCACCCTCTCTGCCTTACGCCCTTCATCCCCCTTTCCACCCTCTCTGCCTTACGCCCTTCATCCCCCTTTCCACCCTCTCTGCCTTACGCCCTTCATCCCCCTTTCCACCCTCTCTGCCTTACGCCCTTCATCCCCTTTCCACCCTCTCTGCCTTACGCCCTTCATCCCCCTTTCCACCCTCTCTGCCTTCCCCCCCCCCCCACCCTCCTCCTCCCCCCAGGAGCATTATTGCAGAGTGAGGATACCCCCTGACGCCCGGCTTCCCTCTTTCCCCGCTTTGCCTTACATCCTTACCCCGTTTCCCCAATATGCATTACCCGTGACTTCACAACGTTTCCACCCACGGTGCACTACACCCGTGCTCCAGCTTTTCCCATTTGTCCCTACACTCATCTTCCCTTCTCCCCTCTCTGCCTTACACCCGTGAAATCCTTTTTTCCACACACCGATACACTCTTCAACCCCCACAATGCTTTCCCTCTGTTACGCCCTTCTTCCTCCGTTCGCCACAGTCTTACACCCTTCCCCTTACACCCTGCTTCCCTATCCCCCCTGTCTTCAAAAGACCCTCCCTGCCCCTCTCCCCACCCTTCCTTTCCACCTTCTTCCTCCTTCGTGCCTCCTCTGCCTTATGCCCAGCCTTACCCATTCCCCTATCCTCCCTAAACCCTTTTCCCCACTCCCCCGTCCTTCCCTTACCATTTTCTCTCCCCTACCCTCTCCCGCCTTCACCCATCTTCCCCCTCTCCCGCCTTCACCCATCTTCCCCCTCTCCCCAGTCTGCCATACACCCTTCTGTCCTGGTTTCCCGCGCTGCCTTACACCTTTCTGCCCTGGTTTCCCGCGCTGCCTTACACCATTCTGCCCCGGTTTCCCGCGCTGCCTTACACCTTTCTGCCCTGGTTTCCCGCGCTGCCTTACACCATTCTGCCCCGGTTTCCCGCGCTGCCTTACACCTTTCTGCCCTGGTTTCCCGCGCTGCCTTACACCTTTCTGCCCTGGTTTCCCGCGTCGCCTTACACCCTTCTGCCCTGGTTTCCCGCGCTGCCTTACACCCTTCTGCCCTGGTTTCCCGCGCTGCCTTACACCATTGTGCCCTGGTTTCCCGCGCTGCCTTACACCCTTCTGCCCTGGTGCATGTGGCTGCAATGTCCCCTCTGCCTTGCATTAGCATGTCCCATGTGGCTGCACCGTCCTCTCTGCCTTGCATTAGCATGTCCCATGTGGCTGCACCGTCCTCTCTGCCTTGCATTAGCATGTCCCATGTGGCTGCACCGTCCTCTCTGCCTTGCATTAGCATGTCCCATGTGGCTGCACCGTCCTCTCTGCCTTGCATTAGCATGTCCCATGTGGCTGCAAGATCCTCTCCCCACTGCCGCACACTGTCCGTGCCCCATGCACATGTCATTTTGCACGCCACATGTTCCAGTTCCCCTCACTGTGCTGCCTCCCTTCCCCACCCTTTCGAGGGCAGTGTACAACTCACTCTTGCCAGTGTGAGGGCTGGAGGGGAATGTCGCACCGACAAGGGACGGGTAGTGGCTCAGCTAAGCGCGTCCGAACCGGCGTGCCTGCTAGGTAAGCGACTCCGGTATAGATCTGCTCCGCCAACAGCGCCTGCTTACCTCGAAAAACCCCTCTGCACGTTACTTGTTTGCCCGCGCTCAATCATCCTTGTCACTGTCCTCCCAAATTGCAGGCCACGCTGTAGGGCTCTCATGCGTCGCCGGCCGGAAGGGGTACGCATGGACGAGCAAGATAGCGCGGAGGAGACCGAGGGTGGGATCCAGCAGGAGAGTGCATCCACTTTATTAGAAAGGGTTGTGTCTACGACCAGTGTTTCGACCATACCATCGCCTGCTATGGCTCGACGGGTCCGTGTTCGCTCCGGTCTGCCCCCAATCATTGTGAATCCAGTGTTCTGCTGGACAATCAAATAGTTTGCAAGGCGTTTCCCAAAACAGCATGATGTATTGCAGAAGTGGGCGGCCAACTGGTTATCCTTCCCCTCTGAAGCTATTGTGGGGCCTTTTTCAACCCAACGTACAGTGGAGAACGTGATACGAGTTGCGTATGGCGCAAACCTCGATGTGGGCGTGGACGACGCAGAGGTGGAGCCGAAGAACCACCGTTTCCGCTGTTACGTGGGGTATTCGGATTTGTTGGGAGAGGACACTAGTGACCATGTCGTGCTTCCCTGGCTGATATACGTAGTGATTGCCTCCTTGTACCCTAAGCCATCAACGGATGGGTATTACCTACGATGTGGGTCTGACGAAGTGTTGTGGTTCAACAACTTCAGTCCGTTGCCCGAAGTGATCGACTTTGCATGTGATGGTGTTGTGGGGTTCCTGCGTAATCATGGGAATGATAGCCAGTGAATAGGCTGCATGCTTGTCACAAATTTGCGAACTTCTGTTATGATCCGACAACTTGTGTTGTTCATAATCAGCCTCCTGCACACCTTAGTAATGCCACACGCATCCAGACAGAGATTTGAACACACATAAGAGGCAACCATGTGTTGCCACTGGTGCACTGTGTCCACCGATGGGAGGGCACCTTGGTTGGAGAGGAGTAGCGCCGGGTTTAGGGATCTACAAATTAGGCCTAATAGTATGAGTCAAAGGCGAGTCATGGCATCTCAAAGCAGGTTCTCATGTAAAGACAAAGTGTTTTCCATGCGTAGTGGACGATTGAAAGCTTGGTAACCATGTTGAGCGTGGTGGGCTGAGAGGATGTCTCGCTGGAGGGCTGCGGGAACAGAGTTGCCGCAAACGTTGGGCCCCCTATGGTGCATATCCCTAGGCGCAGGCCTGCAACAGGGTTCAACGGGTTGCGTACGGGCGGGGTGGGGGTAAATGGGCTGGGTGGGAGATAGAGCGATGCTGCTCCTGCATGCATTAGGACGTGTGCATGGGTGCTAAGTCGTGCAAGGGTCTTCACGTGTGCACACCATGTGCCCGTGTGCAAGGGTGTGCCCGTGTGCAAGGGTGTGCCCGTGTGCAAGGATGTGCCCGTGTGCAAGGGTGTGCCCGTGTGCAAGGGTGTGCCCGTGTGCAAGGGTGTGCCCGTGTGCAAGGGTGTGCCCGTGTGCAAGGGTGTGCCCGTGTGCAAGGGTGTGCCCGTGTGCAAGGGTGTGCCCGTGTGCAAGGGTGTGCCCGTGTGCAAGGGTGTGCCCGTGTGCAAGGGTGTGCCCGTGTGCAAGGGTGTGCCCGTGTGCAAGGGTGTGCCCGTGTGCAAGGGTGTGCCCGTGTGCAAGGGTGTGCCCGTGTGCAAGGGTGTGCCCGTGTGCAAGGGTGTGCCCGTGTGCAAGGGTGTGCCCGTGTGCAAGGGTGTGCCCGTGTGCAAGGGTGTGCCCGTGTGCAAGGGTGTGCCCGTGTGCAAGGGTGTGCCCGTGTGCAAGGGTGTGCCCGTGTGCAAGGGTGTGCCCGTGTGCAAGGGTGTGCCCGTGTGCAAGGGTGTGCCCGTGTGCAAGGGTGTGCCCGTGTGCAAGGGTGTGCCCGTGTGCAAGGGTGTGCCCGTGTGCAAGGGTGTGCCCGTGTGCAAGGGTGTTCCCGTGTGCAAGGGTGTTCCCGTGTGCAAGGGTGTGCCCGTGTGCAAGGGTGTGCCCGTGTGCAAGGGTGTGCCCGTGTGCAAGGGTGTGCCCGTGTGCAAGGGTGTTCCCGTGTGCAAGGGTGTGCCCGTGTGCAAGGGTGTGCCCGTGTGCAAGGGTGTGCCCGTGTGCAAGGGTGTGCCCGTGTGCAAGGGTGGGCCCGTGTGCAAGGGTGTGCCCGTGTGCAAGGGTGTGCCCGTGTGCAAGGGTGTGCCCGTGTGCAAGGGTGTGCCCGTGTGCAAGGGTGTGCCCGTGTGCAAGGGTGTGCCCGTGTGCAAGGGTGTGCCCGTGTGCAAGGGTGTGCCCGTGTGCAAGGGTGTTCCCGTGTGCAAGGGTGTGCCCGTGTGCAAGGGTGTGCCCGTGTGCAAGGGTGTGCCCGTGTGCAAGGGTGTGCCCGTGTGCAAGGGTGTGCCCGTGTGCAAGGGTGTGCCCGTGTGCAAGGGTGTGCCCGTGTGCAAGGGTGTGCCCGTGTGCAAGGGTGTGCCGCATACGACCTTTGCACCCACCCACTCGGTTGCATGCGAGTGACAGAAGCATGAAGAACTGCAACGCGCGGACAGGGTCAAACAAACAAACCACACGCCTGAGGCCGGTGACAACCGAGGGTGCATTCCATCCGTCCCCCCATTTTGACGTGTTCAAATTGCCCCCCTCGTCCGATCTGTTAGGAGGGAGCAGTATGGTGGAAGTCGGGGAATGTAATGAGTGGTGGGAAGGGTGGGAGGGTGGATGTCTGCATAGTGAGCTATGGTACATCAGTGAGTTGTGGTATGGCAACGATGTGAGTTGAGAGGCAATGTCCCGAATTTAGTGGTGTAAGGTTGGGGTGTGAGTAACAGTATAGATCATGGACCAGCACAAGTACTCGCTCACCACCATACGTACCCCATACAACCCTCATTGTTCGTGTTATTGATGTGGCCGTCGGTAGGGTCCTGTTCGCACGCACCGATGTTCACAGCCGGGTTGACTCTAACCGTGGGGTTGAGGTCGCCCCCCTCGGCCGAACTGACGGTATAGTTACAAGGGAGGGGGGGGGGGGGGATGGAGTTGGGTGGGGGAGGTTGGGGCTCTGGGAAGGGACGCTTCCCCCTATGGACCGAATTGTGTTGGGGGGGCTTGGTGTGAGTTGCAGTACCACTTACATACCCGCGTTCGTACACAATCCCCATATGTACCCCAAGCATTGGTCGGTGCATGTGTTACCCTCGTGGCCAACGGATGGGTCTGGTGCGCTCGCACCAACGTTCATTGCAGGGTCGTCGCCTAAAACTCTACCTATTTCATGGGAGGGTGGTCTATGGATGATATCTATTGCAGCCTCCTCCTACTTGGGGGTTGATTTGGGTACTCGCATGCTTTTGGTAATGCCGCTCCCCTTTCTTTACTCTGAAATCACACTCCCCTCGTCGTAGATGGCTAAACACAAGTCTAATAAATAAGTGGAATGGCTCAGTGAAATGAATTCTGTATAGGCCGGGCTTCAAGACTCTGTGACTGCCTGGACCCGGGCAAGAAGCTCAGCACCGCCAGCATACGGTTGGGCGTCAACTTCAGTGGATAGGAGTTGTTGTCGAGGCACTGAAGCGGGGGGGGGGAGAGGGGGGGGGGGGGGGGGGGGGGGGGGGAAGGGAGGGGAGTTTCTGTGGAAGTGAAGGTGGCAGGGAGGTGACGTTACAGGAGAGAGTAGAGAGGGAATCAGGGTGGCCGTGGGGGAGTAAGGGCTTGAGCGTGGAAGGAGGTTGCCTTGTCGGAGCAGAGAGAGGACAAGGAACGGACAATGGGGCCTTGAATGGGCTGACAAAGGGAGATAAGCGTAGTCTGGACGAGGGATGGGAGGACGGGAAGAGAGAGGAGAGGAAGGAATGAGTGCCGGGAGGACGGGGTGAGAGGGGATTTTGGGATGAGAAAGGGAAGGACGGAAAATGAGAGCTAAGGAACGGGCGGAGTGCTGGGAAGGAAGGGGTGGTTGTGGGGAGGACGGTTATGAGAGATGCGGGGTAGAGACGATGGTGGGTCGGATGGGCTGAGAGAGCGGTGGAAGGACGGAGTGCTGGCTCCTATGGGATGATATGGTCTAGGAACGATGGTAGGAGTTCTGGTATGGTGGGAGGGCGACTCGCACTGTGGTGGTATTGGAAGTCCCTAAAAACAAGTAGGACACTTACCTCCTTTTGAAGCCAACCCCAGTGCTGGTGGTTTCACTGTTAGGAGTTCCTGGGGCTTGGGTAGACACGCCTCCTAAGGCAAGAGCGAGCCAAGATGAGGTGGGGGGAGGAGGGGGGAGAGGGATGGGGCGCTTCTTGGAAAAGGGGTTGTTGAGCAGTGCGGGAGGAGAGTGTGTGTGGTGCCACACACTGTGCGCCGGCCGTCTTCATAAGACCAGGGTTCACACTGCACAATGCGTTGTGGGATTAGTAAGGATGGGAAGGGTACGGAGAGATGGGAAGGGATGGAATCTGGGAAGGGAGGATTGAAGGGGGATGCGAGGAGATACGGCACGAATGGTGGGGACGGGACGGAATGGGTTACAGCAGTGGGGAGGGGTAGTGCATGGACGAGTAGGTAAGTTTCCAACACGCGTCTCAGTTCAGCCGCGTCCTCCCCCGCATCATCTCCGCACCTTCCCCTCCTCCCCTCCCCCTCCACTGCTGCAAGCGCCCGCGAGTCTGGGAAAGCCGTCTGCAGACCCGCAGGCGCACATCCTTGGCAAGGAAGAGGTGCTCAGGCATTGGCCCCATTCTAAACCGTAGCGAGAGGGGAGGAATGAGAGAGGGGGAGACGAGATGCGCGAGGATGGGAAGGTATGAGACGGGGGAGGAATGGAAAATGGGAACCCTACGAACAAGGTAGGGAGGGGACGCAGGGGAGTGACTGGGTGCAAGCAGGGGCTGCTAAAGGCAATGGCAAAACTGAGGACGGCCTAGAGGGGAGAAAAGGAGCGGACGCAGGGGGGGGAAGAGAGGGGTAGCAGGGGGGGAAGAGAGGTGTAGCAGGGGGGGAAGAGAGGGGTAGCAGGGGGGGAAGAGAGGGGTAGCAGGGGGGGAAGGGTTGGATAGCAGGGGTTGGAGAGCGGGGTAGCAGGGGAGGGGAAGAGGGGGGCTGCGGTGGGTGAAACGAAGGCACGCAAGGGGTGTTATCGAGGGGCACCCATTTTTTGAAAATCGAAACACGGGGGGACAGAGGAAATGCTACGAGGGCATGGAGAGGGGAATAAGGGAACGGAGGGGGGGACAGGAGGGGAAGAGAATGGAGAAGGGACGGCAGGGAGGAGAGAGGAGGTCCGGGTGAAAGATGAGGACATTGTGGGAGAGGGGGACGGGGGGGAGAGAGGAGGACAGTGGGGGAGAGGATGGGAGAGGTGAGGGAGAGATGAGGGATGAGAGGCAAGGAGGAGAGGGGGTGGATGAATGAGGGGAGTTGCAGACGGCGGCGAGGTCCGTGACCTGCACCATGCACGACGAGGTGGTTGCATACTGTAGCTGGGTAAACGAAGGTAAGAAGGGGACAGTGAAGGCAAGCAGGTGGCGACAGGAGGGGAAGTAGGAGTGGAAATGAGTGGGAGCAGGTGGCTAAACCCCTGAACCAGAGGGGGCTAAAGAGGCGGATGAAGGGGGGAGAGAAGGGGGAAAATAAGGGGCACCAGGGGCGGATACATGGGAAAGAAGGGGGGAGGGGGGAAGAGTGGGGGCAGAGAGGGGAACGATTAGATTTGGGTTGGGAAAAGAGGTTGTCCAAGCGGGGTCAAAGATGGGAAGCAGTGTTAGATAAGAGGGTGAAAGATGGGGAAGGAGGATAGGGAATGACTGCGTGGGAAATGTGGTCGAGGGGCTGAGTGTGCAAGAGGAGGGGAGGACGGAATGATGCAGGTGATGTCTGGATAAGTGAGGAAAGTAGGGGAGGAGTGATGGGGAGGCGGGGATGAGAGAAGGAGAGAGACCATGAGAGAGGGGTGAAGGGGATGAGAGAGGGATGGAGGGGATGAGAGAGGGGAGGGGGGGATGAGAGGGGATGGAGGGGATGGGATCGGGGAGGAAAGGATGAGAGAGAGGAGCACGGAATCAGTGATGGAAGGAGTGGAGGAGCGATGGGAGGAGAGGATGAGAGAAGGAAGGAGGGGCTGAGAGAGGGGAGGAGGGATGAGTGAGAGGAGGAGGGGATGGGATCGGGGAGGAAGGGATGAGAGGGAGGAGCACGGAATCAGAGATGGAAGGAGTGGAGGAGCGATGGGAGGAGAGGATGAGCGAAGGAAGGAGGGGCTGAGAGAGGGGAGGAGGGGATGAGTGAGGGGAGGAGGGGATTAGAGAGGGGATGGGATCGGGGAGCAAGGGATGAGAGAGGGGAGGACGGGATCAGAGATGGAAGGAGTGGAGGAGCAATGGGAGGAGGGGATGAGAGAAGGAAGGAGGGGCTGGGAGAGGGGAGGAGGGGATGCGAGAGGGAGGAGGGGAGGAGGGGATGACAGAGGGGAGAAGGGGACGAGAGAGGGGCGGAGGGGTGAGAGGGTGGAGGAGGAGATGAGAGAGGGTGCAATGGCGCCCCCCACGACTCTAAGCCCCTCCACCTGCAATGGCCCACTGCAATGTGCACGCTTTGTGGACAATGGGGCGATGCGGTGGCGAGGCGGCGATTTGCAGGACGAGGCCGCGACGTGGGGGAGAGTGGTGTCCGTCAAGCCAACACCTCCTACCTCTTCGACGTAAACCCGAAGTGCTTCGGGTTTGTGTTGCACATGCCCTGATGTGCCTCTACGGATCGAGAGAAGGACGGAGGGGAGGTGCGAGGAGAGAGGAGGGGAGGGGCCGAGAGAAGGAGGGGGGGAATGGAAGCTGGGTGTACGGGATGGGAGAAGGTGACACGGTGGGTTGAGGAGGGGAGGATGGGCAGGGAATAGAGAGGAGGACAGTGGGGAGCGAGGAGGACAGGGGGTAGAGTAAAGGTAAGGGGGTAGAGTAAAGGACAAGGGGTAGAGGGGGGGGGGGGGAAAGGGTGACAGCGGGGGCAGAAGAGGGTGGGGTAAGATGGTAAGCAGGAGGGAAACGAGCGGAAGCAGGGGGGAATGTGCGGGGGCGCATGTGGACGCCTGCGAGGGAAATAAGGAGGTGGAAGTAAGGGCACGCGTGGTCGGGGATGGAGGGCATATAGTGGTGACCGTGAGGGAGGAGCAGGGTGAAATGAAGTTGAAGGCGGGAAAGGAATGATGGGGTTGGATGCGGGAAATGAGGGAGACAGAGGGGCGAGAGATTGACGGAGATGGAAGTACGGGTGAGAGGGTGAGGTCGGGTTGACTGGTAGTGGGGATGGGGAGGGACCGGAGCAGTTAGGGGGTGGCTGGCCCGGGGACGCAGCAGGTTCTTCCCTGCCCACGGCTTTGGCGGCGGTGGAGGCGAGGGAGGGCTGGCGGGCGATGCGGCAGGCGGCGACGAGGCGGCGACGAGGCGGCGACGTGGCTGCGACGTCGCGGCGACGAGGTGGCAGGCGGCGACAACGCGGCGCTTCGACGGCGACGCGCCGACGAGGAGGCGAGGCGGGGAGGCGGCGATGCGGCGACGATGACTCGCCTCGAGGCGAGGCCCCGATCTGACGGCGAAATGGAGGCGATGCGGCGAGGCGGCGTTGCTGCGGCAATACGCCGGTGCCGAGATGAGGCGACCGCGGCCTAAACGCGTCTACTCGCGCGAGGCAGCGCAGAGGCGAGTTTACCGGGGAGTCGAGAGGCCGCTATGGGAGTACTCACATAGTGCGAGCGTGAGACTCAGGTATGAGGCAGCGAGTCGGTGGGATTACGGCGAGCCGCGCAGTCTGACAAAACGATGTTGGGAGGCTACTCGCCTTTGACAATGTCTCTATCCAGATAATTACCTTTTCTAGATTTTGCAGACAGGACTACGGCGTGGAGGCGTATCGAGTTGCATGCCGAAGATCTGTGGAAGCGCGGTTAGTCGGCTGATCCATGCCAGGCGGTTCAATCACGGCGAGTTACCTGGATCGGATTGACGGGAGTCACTGTTAGGCTTTTGTTCCCCCTTTGTTACTTGCGCGTTCCGCTTGGTTTCCGCCGCTCCCTGTGTTCCCCCAGTCTTGTGTGCCGTACGAAATAGGTTTGGGTCGCCAGCGGTGTTTGGTTTCCTCGCACCAACATTCCTACCCCTCTACACTTCGCAGTCAAATCAGCACGCGTTCGGGGGTGTGTGCGAAAAGTACCCCCAAAAACCACCCCCAGGAATGTGCACTGCCGCTTTAAGGAATCTGGAAAAGTTTTGAGGGCGTGTCCAGCGCGTACATTCACACCACATGTGCCGCTACAATTACCACTTTTTTCAATGTAACCACGATTTTACACCTCATGCACGTAAAGTACGGACACGCAAAACACGTGCGTCGTAACGCGCACACTACGCGGCCCGCACGTAACACACCCCAGATTCGAGGTGTACGCGTCCAACTCGGAACAGTGTGCCGGTCTGCGAAGGCAACGGGGAATTTCGCTAGAGTCAGGTGACCGCGAAATTCACCTGAAATGTGCAATCGCCGAGTCGCGGGATTTCAATGGCCGCCCTGGTGGTTACAGTGCATACCTGTCGCTAATTTCGTGAAACTTGCTGTGGTAGGTTACCCTGGGCGCATTGTGTCTTCCCGCTTTTTTTTGGACGCGCACCTTTCAGGGTACACCTGGCGGTACCAGTTTTGCGCGTGCTACAGAAAACGTGAAAATTTAGAAATTTCACCAAAGTGTACGCGCTGGACACGCCCTGAACACCTGTTTGTCCTGCTCACGATGCATGAGCTAGTAGGTCCGTGTCACGTAGACAAACTTGGTTCGCCTGCTGCAAGCTCAACGTTCTAAAAGGCCTGGTCACAGGCGCAGCAGTTAGGTTTTGCCCTGGTGAGGTCGTGGCATGGCGGGAAAGTCTGCGGCTCCTCAGGGGCTGCCTGATGGGATTGACAAAGACGAGGTGTGTCGTCTCCCTGTTGTGATCCTTCCCTCTTCAGTCTTTCGTTGCGAAGTTCGCCATAGCATCTCGGATCGTCACGACGCCTTCAGGCACATGGGCGTTCACTAAGAGTTCTTTCCGGTCTCAAGCCTGATTAGTTGATCGTTGTTTCGCTGTGGTCCTGAGATTGTCTCGCGAGTTTTTGCGACCACGACGTTTCTTTGCTACTTATCTGGGAACCAGATTTGTAACGTTGAACGGGATGCATTAGATTGCACGCGACTCGTCACGCCAGTAGTCACAAGTCCCCTCAAACGCTATAGTAGCAGGCAGCGGGTTGCTTGCAAAATGACTAGTTCTGATGCCGTGGGATTTGAGTCTCATGCTGTGCCATTGGATATCGCAATTCTCGTTTCATTCTTTCGTCTTTACTGTTTTCCTGATCTACTTACAGATCTATGAGATGGCAGCTCAACAAATGGAGTACCGAGTGAGCCTATTCAACGCGTGAGTATTCACTTTCCAAATCCCGTTTGGAAGCAACCCCGCCCTTCATCCCTCCTACTCCCCTAACCCTTTCCCTCCTTCCTCCTTCCCACGCCAAGGCCTCCTTCCTCCAGTGTTCGTCACTCTTGCCCATCCTCCTTCCCTCCCTCCTCTCGTCGACTCTCTCCTTTCCCTCTCTTTCTCTCTCCCTCTACCTCGCTGCCTCGCACTTCCCCCTTCCCTCTACCTCGCTGCCTCGCGCTTTCCCCTTCTCTTTACCGAGCCCTACCATGTTTGCTGTATACGTGTATGCATCAATGGGGCTGCCTGAATGTGGCAGCTCAGCATGCTCTCCTTGTGCCTGTCCATCGTTTACAATGTCAACTGCTCACTTTTTTCTTCCAACTGGGTGTTCCGTTCTGCCCCCTTTTCTCCTTTTCGAATACATTTCCTTAACCGATGCCAATGACAGCATGGTGGCAACCTGTTTTGACAAGTGTTATGAGAAGAAGTAAGTGGTAAATATGTCTTCTGCTTTGCGTACACTGTAATATTGCTCACTGTAACTCACGCAGTGAGTTGCGTCTGTAAGGTAGCGTGCAACAAAAGCTGACTTATTGAGTAAGCTGCTCTGATCCTTCAAACTGTTGTCGGGATACATTTCTGTTGCACAAATGTATGTTTTTTTTTTTTTTTTTTTTTTTTTTTTTTTTTGCTGCACTGGTTCCTGCTATCTACCATGTCATTCAATCAGGTACAAGGAGTCAGAATTGAATCTAGGAGAGACTAGCTGTGTTGACCGATGTGTTTCCAAATACTGGCAGGTGAGTTGAAATTCAAGCCAAGGATTTGTGTATTGAAGTGTTTGGTTATGTTTTGTGTGTGTGGCCCAGGATGAATTTGTCATGGCTGAATCAAGTTTGTTTCTTGTGAGGTGTTGCAAGATTTCTAATGGTGTTGTTTCATGGCACCGGTGTGTAAAACAGGTGCGAGGGATTATTGGTCAATACCTTGGAGTTTCTGGCAGTGGGATGTAATGCTCCACAGGGCTGTCATGTTACCAGTACCAGCATACACAATTCTAGAATGAGGCCTTAGCTTAGTTCTATAGTTTGGAGTTTGTCTTTGATGGTTAAAATCTCTGAAGTGAACATGTGCTGTTATTGAAACGCAGCGTTTCTAATCCTAGACTAGACGATGCCGCAATTTCCTATGCTTCCCCCATCGTGCCGCTGCCGATTTTCTCCACCTTCCTTCCAATCACGTCTGCCTACCTTCTGACACAATCCAAGGCCCGCCAGAATATATCCAGCGGCTTTCCTTTTCTTCCCCATACACATCCTGCGGTCTTCTCGCAGCTGCCCTGGTGGCATCGAACCAGTGACCCACCATTTGGAACCGCAATCAACACTGAGTTTTTCCACTTTCCAAGGCATCACTGAATACTGCAGGAATTTCCCAACTTTCCTGCTAGAGCTGCAACGCAAGCAGCGAGGTGGTTTGGCAGTTTCCTCGGCAAAGCCAGCGGCCGTCCCGCTGTCCGAAAGCAGTGCGTCCTGTCAAACATATGCATATGTTGTATTTGTGGGTAGGCTGTAGTGGAGTAGACATTGTGGGGTATAACCCCTTAGGGTTTTCCTACTTGTACCATTCACTCGATAGTCTAAGACACTCTTGCCTAAGTTCTTAAGATGGTATCTAAGCAGCAGGTCCTTAGGACCTAAGATTCGGGCCCACCGGTTACCGTGTTACCTCACCTACAGCCTTACCTGCCCGTCTGCCTTGCCTGCTGCCCGCGCGCGCCTCGGCTGCACGGGCGCGAATCTTTTTTTTTAGCACGCGCTGCTGCTGCAGCCTGCACGCGGCCCGCTGCGGCACCGCGCGCCGCGCCCGCAGCCCGTGCTGAGCCCGCGTAGCCAGCGCGCGACCCGCAACTGCCCCGCGCACCGCTCGCGCAGCCCGCGCCGAGCTCGCGCAGCCCGCACGCAGCCCACGCACCGCCCGCGCAGCTCGCGCCGCGCCCTGCCCGCCCTGCGCAGCCCGTCGCCGCGAGTGCCCTGCCCGTACGCCGCCCGTCGCCGCGGTGCCCTGCCCTGCCTGTGCGCCGCCGCCTTGCCTGCCTTACGAGCTTGCCTTCGTGCCTTACGAGCCTGCCTGCCTGCCTTACGAGCTTGCCTGCCTTACGAGCCTGCCTGCCTTCTGAGCCTTACGAGCCTGCCTGCCTTACGAGCCTTACGAGCCTTCCTGCCTCGCGTGCCTCCCTACTGCGCGCGTTTGCTTGCCCCGCGCGCTGCTTACGCTGCCTTGCCAGCCTGCTCGAGCACAGATTACCTTTGCCTGCGCGGCTACTATGGCGACACTCAATGTTCTAGCGTTTGAGCCTGACGGTCGACCGATCGAGTTCGCCACGTGGCTCGATGACCTGCAACTGTTCCTCATGACTGATGCCAAAGACGGCGTTTCACTGTTCGATCACGCGTCTGGCACTGCCGCTGCTCCTGATGACGCTGCTCCTGCTCTTGACCGCTCACAGTGGCAGACTCGCGATGCTGCTGCGCGCCTCGCTATTCGCAACCACCTGCCGATCACTGAGCGCGCGCATTTTAGTCAGCACAAGACTGCTAAGGCGCTGTATGACGCTGTAGTTGCGCGCTATTCCTCCCCAGCCACTGCAGCCGTAGGCCGTCTCATCCTGCCCTTCCTATTTCCCGACCTGTCCTCGTTTACCGTCGCTGAGGACCTTATCTCTCACCTCCGCGCTAGTGACGCCCGCTTTCGTGCCGCTCTTACCGACGAGTTCCTCGCCAAGAATACCCCCCCGATATACTTTACCCTCTACATCCTCGTCACCCGCCTCCCTGACACTCTTAGCTCGGTCAGGGACCATTTCCTCGCCAAAGACCCTGCCACTATCACTCTCGACGACTTCGAGCAGCAGCTGCTGGCAGCCGAGAAGAACATTCTAGCTGTAGGTGCTGCTCGTGGCACTCCTCGCACTCCCCTCTTTGAGGGGTGCTCCCCCTCCCCTCTTGCCCCCTCCTACGCCTCTGCTGCTACTGCAGTCGACCTCCTCGGTGCTGAGAAGGTTGCAGCCGCTTCCGCTCCTAGTGGCAAGCGCGACGGTACCAGGGGCGGCAAGGGTGGCAAGGGTGGTGGTGGCGGCGGCGTAGGGAGCGGTGGTGGAGGCGGCGGGGGTGGTGGAGGTGGTGGGGGTGGCCGTGGGGGTGGAGGCGGTGGGTGGGGCGGCGGTGGGACAGGGAGTGGTGCGGGCGACAGCGGCGGTAGTGGGGGAGGAAGCAGTGGTGGTGGCGGTGGGGGTGGGGGCGGGAGTGGGACCGGCCAGAAGGGGAGCTCCAGTGGGGGCCAGCAGCAGCAGCAGCAGCTGCAGCAGCCGCAGCAGCAGCAGCTGCAGCAGCCGCAGCAGCAGCAGCGCCAGACCCCCTCTTCTCAGCAGATGCCGGGCGTGGGGCGTCTGGGGGTCCTGGTCGCTGCCC